TGCCACTCCCCTGCTACTTTGTTACTTAACCACTGTGGGCCTCCAATGCAAAAGGCTCTCCTGCCCTGCTGATGTCTCGGGTCTCAGCTCCCTCTAGTGTCTTCCTTTGGTTTTCGTTGTTAGGAGCCTCCTACTGACGCTTCTGGTCTAGAGCGGTTTTGAGGCTTCAAAGGAGGGACCTAGTGCCAAGGCTTCAGATGCTGGTGCCAGGACCGACCCTGAATGAGGGAAAGAGGCTGTGTGGCCCTGAGGGGGTGCTCTGTCTCCGTCTCTCTGTCTCTCTGTGTCTGTCTCTCTCTGTCTCTCTGTCTCTCTCTGTCTCTCTCTGTCTCTCTGTCTCTGTCTCTCTCTGTCTCTCTCTGTCTCTCTGTCTCTGTCTCTCTCTGTCTCTCTCTGTCTCTCTCTGTCTCTCTTTCTCCTCTCTGTCTCTCTCTGTCTCTCTCTCTCCCCCTCTTCCCCTCCCCCATCCTCCCCCTTTCTCTTTCATTGCCTCAGTTCAGAGGATGGGGGAGGGCACTCCGTTGGCATCCCAACTGGGGCTCCTGACCAGTCACACAGTGAAGCCCATGATGGGAGTCACTCCCCTTCCCAGCTGAGGGCTCATCTATCAAACGTGGAGGCCCGAGTTCTAATCCTGACTATTTGACCTTGAGGAATTCCCTTTGCCTCTCTGGGCCTCAGTTTCCCCATCTGTAAAATGGAAAGACCAGATGAGCTCCCTTCCAACTCCAACTCTGTGGTTCTCCCTGACTCAGGCAGTCAATCAACAAGCATTTATTAAGCCCCTGCTGTGTGCCTTGTGTGGTGTTGAGGATACATAGAGACCTCAGCCTCTGCCCTCAATGGACTCGCCTCGTCTTGGGGGAGACGAGAAGGACACAAACACACACATGTGTACGTGTGTGTACATAAGGGACATGTGCGTATAGAAGCAGGTACAAGATGATTTGGGTCGGGGGAAGGCATAGCTGCAGGAAGCAGGGAAGGAAGGCCTCCTTCAGGAGGTCCTAAAGGTGGATGGGGATTCTAGGAGGGTTAGGGTTAGGGGGAGGAGGGGGAGGGGGAGGAGGAGGGGGGGGGGGGGGGAGGGGGGGGGGGAGGAGGGAGGGGGTGGAAGGGGAGGAGGAGGAGGGGGAGGAGGAGGCTCTGGCTGTTGCTATGCCAACAAGAGCATCTCAGAGGCCACTGGGTAGGAAGTGCCATTCCTTCATGCCTGACATCCCTGAAACCCCCTTGTTCTCCGGCTTTATTCAGCCCCCACCTCACCCCCAGCCTGGCCCAGCCCTTCTCTCCCCAGGCCAGAGGAACCCAGGACCCCCATCCCAGCCCACGTTCTGGGCTCTCCCCTCACGGTGCTGCTGCCCCCCCATTCAATGCGGGTGAGGTCACAGACTCCCCGGGGAGGGGGTCCTTTCCTCCTTCACTGAGGCTGCATGCCGCCCCCCATTACAGGAGCTGTTGGCAGGATGAGTCAGTCAGTAACAATAACAGCTCATGGCCGTACAACAAGGCATGCTGGGAAGGATGCAAGAGCGGCATTCAGAAGATGGGGGATCGGCTCCCAGCTCAGCCAGCATGAGCTGTGTGACTCTGGCCCAGTCACTCACCCTCTCTGCGCCTCAGTCTCCTCTCCTCACCTCCAGGTCAAGGTCGATGATGCCATGCCTTCTCAGATGCCCTCCAGAGAGCCTCATGGAGCCCTTTAGCACTGCTGGGTGCTCACAACCTCAGATGTGAGTGAGGGAACACAAGTCGTTACCCCATTTTACAAATGAAGAAACTGAGGCTCAAGAGGCCATGTCCAATGTCACTCAGCCAGTCTGACTCTTAGTCTTCTAACTCTAATATATGGTGTCCCCAGGAAGAATCAGGACAGTGTGTGCACATGTACATATATGCGTGCATGTATGCGCATGTGTGGGTGTGTGTGGGTATGTGTTGCAGTGTGTTTATTGTGAGGTGTATGTATAGGTGTGTATGAATGCGTGTACATGTATGTGTGTATGTGTAGGTGCGTGTGTGCGCATTGTGTGAGTGCACATTCACATACAGATCTGTGTGTATGGATGCATCATACCATACGTAAATGTGCATGTATGCACACATGCATGTATATGCACCACATGTGTGCGTGTGCATGCATGCACCCTGTCATCACTGTGGAGGGAGGGGGCCATCTTCCCTGGAAGAAGGGGCCTCGGGGGACACCACCAGATGGAGCCTGCTTAGCCTGGGCACCGAGCCTGGGCTGCCGCGGCCATGGGCACCATCCCCTCTCTCCCTCCTTGGCACACTGGTTTTGGAGCTCGCCAAAGCTGGGGCCTCAGAGTCCACACCTGAGGCTCTTTATGACATGCCAGAGACCAGGCTCTGGGCGAGGGAGGACTCGCGTTGCTGCAGGGTCCTGCTCCCCCACCTCTCAAGAGCAGCTCTGGCTCCTTCCTAAGTGGGGGGCCTCAGGAAAGATCTGGCTTTCAACAACGGAGGGTCTCCAAGCTTCCTGATCAGCAGCCCTGGCAAAGGCTGGGGGGGGGGGGCGGAACCCTGGAGCCAGCCTCCTCCCTCTTCCTGATCCTCCCCTTTCCCTCCTCCTCTTCTTTCACTTGCTGGCCCAGCCCACACCGACCCACTGACCCACTAACGCAGCTCTCAAGAGGCCACATCCATTTCCCTTCATTCAATCATGCCTTTAATTACACTTCCTGAATTACTGCCTTCAAGGCTGCCCGAGTTAGGATTCTCTTGGGAGGACACAGAAGGACCTTTGAGGGCTGGAGGCAAGACTCCAGCTTGGGGAGCCCTGGGGTCTTGCCTCAAGGGCAAAATCGGGGCTCCTCCTGTCCCTCCACCTCGGTCAGTGGCAGCAGGGCCAGAATCACAGGAGGCGGCCTGGGCATAGTGACCCTCTGCCTGCCTGCCTGCCCCCAGCCTAGCACCGCTCCTGGCACTCAGGGCCAGGAGGCACCACTGTCTCCAGGCAGAGAGGATGAGAGGGGCTGGGGAGCTGAATGTCAGGAAGGCCCAACTCAGTGGTGCCTGGGTGCAAGCCCTCCCAGCAGCAGGGTGGATGCCCCATTCATTCCAGGTACAGAGCCTGACTTTGTCCTTCCATTCTACTGCTGCCGCTAGGCCTTGGGAAGAAGAAACTTGTGGGCAGTAGGAGGCAGAGACAGAGGTGAGGTTCAGATCCTGGGCTCCAAAACAGCTGGAGGACCAGCCTCCTCCTCTTGGCCAGCCTTGGTGGCCATCAGTAGAGCTGAGATGTGGCTTGAAGTGGGAGAGCCCCAGCTCACCCCTAACCCAGTGCCCCGAGGGCAGGGCTGGGCACCAATCTCAGGAGGGCAGAGGAGCCTCAGAAGGGCCTGGAATTGCCCTGAAGCTCAGGACTGTCCTGGGTGGGGGGGGATGGTGCCAGAGCCCTCCATGAAGGAGCAGGAAAGGAGACAGACAGGCTGGCTGTCCAGGCTAGGCTAGGCATTTCCCCCACTGAGATATTTAGCTGACAAGTGGAATCCAATGCCCCTGGCTGGCACAGGGGGATCCCTTGTGGGGGCCCGGTCACAGATAAGGACCCCAGATGGGGCCAGCTGTGTGGGTCTCCAACCTGCCACAGTCCCCTGGTCACAGTGCCCCAGCCTGAGACTGAGCCTTCAGGCCCAAGGCAGCTGGAGAGTTGGGTAAGCCAGACACAAGGAAAATTAATGCTACTGAAAACAACGGGATGAGGAGGGCTTCTGGAGGGCAGACCTAGCAGGGCTCTGCGGGAGGCCCAGGACGTGAGCACAGGCTCCAGGGAAGGAAGAGAGAACCTTCTAGATTCGTGTAATCATGGAGGTAGTGATCTCCCCATCCCCAGAGGTACAAGAGTGTGTGGTGAGCACAGATGCCCAGCTCCATAGCCCTGCTAGGATGCATGAGGAGGTTATTGCTCTGGGTGGCACAAAACCAAATTAATTTCCCTCTAGCCCTGGCCTAGCCACAAAGGAGCCCTGGGGCAGGTGCATGCCTTCCACCAAACTCCTGACAACTGCCCTCCCCACCCTTACCTTTGGATTACCTCTCAGCCTCAGAAGGAATCTACAAGAGATGGATAAACAGACAGCAGAGAGCTGGGCACTGGGCTCTCCGCAGCTGAGCCTCCACGAAAGGCCTACCTGCTAAATCAGACATCCAGTGCTGGATGAGAGAGAGAGAGAGAGAGAGAGAGAGAGAGAGAGAGAGAGAGAGAGACAGAGGGAGGGAGAGACAGACAGACAGAGGCACAGAGAGAGACAGAGAGAGACAGAGAGACAGGGAGAGACAGAGACAGAGACACAGAGAGAGACAGACAGACAGAGACATAAAGACACAGAGAGACACAGAGAGACAGAGAGACAGGGAGAGACATAGAGACAGAGAGACACAGACAGAGACAGAGACACAGAGAGAGACAGAGACAGAGAGACAGAGACATAAAGAGACAAGGAGACACAGAGACAGAGAGAGACAGAGACAGAGAGATAGACACACACAGGGAGAAGGAGGGAGGGAGGGGAGAGAGAGAGGAGAAGGGAGGGGAGGAAGAGGGAACGGAGAGGAAGGAGAGACAGAGGATCGAAGTCGAAATGACTGTGCTCTGACATCTACCAGGGCTCACCCAGGACAGCTCTCCATTAGTCACATGAAGGCAGAGAGTGCAAGAGTGAAAGGGATTCTTTCCCTTTGGGCCGGGCCCAGCTCGGCGCTGCTGCAGGCGGTAGGCCCTTGCCAAACTGAATACATGAGTGAGTGGATGGACGGACGAGTCCCCCAGCAGCTGATGTCCCAGGAGCCGGATCTCTGTGGCTCGGGGCTGTCCACAGGACGTGTTCGGGGCTTCTCTCTGCTCGCCCGCCCGTCCCGGACCGGCCTGGTCCGCCCTCCCCGCGCCCAGACCCCGGGCTCTAAGCCGGGCCGGCCCCCAGGCAAAGACAGGGCAGAGGCAGGGAAGCTACCAAAGGCTATACTTGGCAGTGGCCAGGCCCGGCCCGGGCCCTCAGTGGGCGTAGATCATGTCTGAGAAGGCCCCGGGGTGTGGGTCGTGATCTGCATCCGCAGCCACCAGTAGTAGTCCATGGGGTGGTAGCGGGTGTAGGGGGTCTTGGACGTCAGGGCGTGGTTCACGGCCTCTGTGACGGGCGTGGTGTCGGTAGACGCGCTGCTGCAGTACTGCTCGATGTTACTGATCTTCTCGTCGAAGTGCTGGCGGCCGTAGTCCTTGCACACCACCTCGGGCAGGTTGTTCCACATCTCCTCGGCGATGGCCCGGATGCGCTCGGGCCTGTACAGTTCGGTGGCCGAGATGAAATTGCCGGGCTCCACCACACTGACCTTGACGCCCAGCGGGTACATCTCGTAGCGGAGGCAGTCGGAGAAGGCCTCCACCCCGAACTTGGTGGTGCAGTAGGTGGAGCGGGCAGCGCTGGCCATTCTGCCCAGCATGCTGCTGATGTTGACGATCCGGCCTGCGGAGAGGATGCCCACCGGCTCACGGGCGCCCACCGCTGCCGCCGCCGCGGGGGAAGACGGCTGCGGTGGCAGAGCCCGGGGGCTTCCTCGGCCCCTCCGAAGTGGGGTGGGCGGCCTGAGGGCACGGTGCACACCCCCACCCTCCAGGGCTTCAGCCTGAGGCCAAACGACCCCTGGGGGAGGCTTCGTGGTCAAGTCAAGGCTGGGCTGGCGAGCTCCTCAGGTGCCCCCTACCTCCCCAGCCCTCAACAAGGCCTGGCGGCCGATAGGACGTCTGCCTTCAGAGAGGGCCTGAACCCCCCTTCCGGGGCAGCCTGGGGTCCCAGAGCCAGGAGAGATCAGGCCCAGGACTCCTCGGCCTTCCTCTAGTCCTAAGGGACCCTGGGCCGCTTACAAGGGAGGGAGACCCAGGGCAGCACAGCTTCCAGGAAGGGGCCTTCAAGGGATCTAAGAGAGGATCTGAATCACCCAGCCCAACCCCCTCATTTTGCCAGGGCAACTGAGAGCCAGAAAGGGGGAGAAACCTGCCCAGGGCATCACAGGAACAAGTGTCAGACCTGGGCTCATGCCCCAGTCCTCAGACCCCAGACTCATTGCTCCTTCTTAGAAGGCTGCTTCATCTGGGGGGTGGCCATTCCCATTGAGGCCCCCAGGCTCAGCCTCACCCTAAACCCTTCAGTTTCTCACCCTCCACCCAACCAAGTCTTATTGATCTGGTACACCTGCCGTCTTTCACTGGCATCCCTTCCCTTGCCTCTCCCCAGGGGGATCAGAAGTCTCTCAGACAACCTGATTCTGGCACTTTTCTTTCCCCCAGTCCATCCTCTCCTCAGCAGCCACTTGTCACCTTCCTAAGCACAAGTCTTCATGAGACACTCCTTTGCTCAATCACCTCCAGCAGTAAAATTGACAACCTTCCACTTGGCACAGGAGGTCCCTCCTGCCCAGTCTGGCCCTCATCTCCTCCATGAGTCCCCTTCTCCACTCCAGCTCAGCTGGCCTGGGCTTGCCTTTCTCTGTCCTACACACACTGCTCTTCTGCTCTGGGATTCTCTCCCTCCTTCTTCGCACTCCGCAGAAACCTTCTTGACCTTCAACAAAGCCCAGGTCAGGGGCCACCTCCTCCTCCCACCCTCTCCTCTCACACTCTAGAATGCTCCGGTGGGAGCTACCTGGCCTGGCATTATATTTAGTGTGTTATGTGTCCTATTCTGCCCCCAAGCTTGCTACACATTAGCTCCATGGAGACAAGGACTGTTTTTCATCTTGTCCACTCGGGAGAGTGGCCTGTACATAGGAGGCCCTTAACAAATGGGTGTGGTGCTGAAGTTGGGCAACTAAGAAAGGAGGATGAGTGGGTAGATGTATAGACAGAGATACAGGCAGATAGAAGGATGATGGATGGATGGATGGATGAAGAAACTGAAATATAGATGGATGAAGGAATGGGTGAAGTGATGGATGGATGGATGGATGGAGAGAGAGAGATGATAAATGGGCAAATAGAGAGATGGCTGGATGGCTGGAGAGAGTGATTGATAGATGGATAGCTAGCTAGATGGAGGGATGAATAGATAAATGGTAAATGGATAGATAGATGGATGGATGGATGGATGGATAGATAGATGATAGAAGACAGGTGGATAGATAGATGGATGCACACACACACACACACACACACACACACACACACACACACACACTTAGTGTCCCTATTGACTAGGGTCAGAAGGGCCAGGATTCCTGCCAGTTAAGAACAGATTCCCGCTCCTGTCCACCCCTTCTTCCTCACCCCCCCCCCCAATTCCCTGGAGGTTGTCTCAAGCCAGAGGAGGAGCTGGTAAATGGTACCATGGACAGAGAAGCACAGGCAAAGTCCAGGGTGTCCCCAAAGTCTTCGTGCAGCTGAAAGGTCTTTAAAAGCTTCAGCCACACCAAGACTTTGGGGACCCCTCGAACCTGCAGAGTGAGCACCACTACCAGAGGGGGTGCCTGGGAAGGCATGATGGATCAGTCTGGAAGGACAGGGAAGAGCCTGACTAGAGCGAGCTGGTTCCTGGAGGCAGCGAAAAGCTCCTGACCCTTCCTGAGCAGGGTGGTTCAATCAGACCTGGACTCTGAGGTCATCAGCATGTTGGGGGATTGCGGCTTTAAACCCTGTGGCCAATGAGGCCAGAGCAGGCACCGTGTGGCCATCTTGGTATTCTCCTGACTTCCTGCTGGCCCTCCCCCCAGCCACTGTCTGACCCCTGTCCTATAGAGAAGGAGCTGCTATGGTGGAAAGATCAGGAGACCTGGGTTCAAATCCACCCACCTATTTCTTCCCTGGGCAGCTCACTTCCTCTACTCTGAGGTGAGGCTGTTGGTTTTGGGGTGTCAATCTCAGCTCCTCTGGGCCTGAGGACTGGGGGGCCAGTGGGACACACCTCTGTAATGCCCACTGATCAAGTGCCCGCTGACTGGGAAGGAGCCGTGCTTACCTCTGGCCCTTCGCAGGAGTGGGAGGGAAGCCTTGGTTGTCTGGACTGTTCCCCACAAGTTCACCTTGGCGACCTCCTTGTAGGTCTCCATGCCGGTGAACTCCACCTCGCCGAAGGTAGAGACGCCCGCATTGTTCACCAGCCCCCACAGCCCTGGAACGATTCAGAGGAGAAAGGAACAGAACTGGGGCGGTCACATTCTGCCTGCCCTTGGCCCCTCAGGGTCACGTCTCCCAGGGACCTGTCACAACACCCCAAAAGAAACTTCCAACCCATCGGCACACATTGACTGAGCACCCACTGTGCGCCAGGCACTAGCGGTGCAAAGAAAAGAGGAAAGGCCTTTCCCTCAATGCTTATGTTCTGTAGGTGGAGACCTGTAGAAGTAGATCTAAAAGACACACAAAGAAAACGTGAGCTGATTTCAGGGAGGGAAACAGCCTAGTGTGGGCAGGGAATCACCAGAGGGCTCGCAGTGCAGGGGACCCCTGAGCTGAGCTCCGAAGGAAGCTGAAAGGCAGAGGGGCAAAGGAAGGGCAGCACAGGCAGGGCTGGGCAGAGCCGTGTGTGTGTGTGTGTGTGTGTGTGTGTGTGTATATGACTGTATATTGTGTGTGCATGTGTGCATATACACATGTGTGTATCTGTGTGTATGTTTGTGTGTATATATGTGCATTGTCTGTGTGTCTATGTACTCATGTGCATATACGCATGTGCATGTGTCTATATATTGCATGTGTGCATATGTGTATACGTGCATGTGCATGTGCGCATCTGTATGTTGTGTGTGCATGTGTACATATACGTATGTGTGTATCTGTGTGCACGTGATGTGTACATTGTATGTGTGTGTCTGTATATTGCATGTGTGCATGTGTCTGTATATTATGCACACATGCATGTGCATGTGTATTGTGTGTGCATGTGTGTACATGTGTGGAGTCTGTCTGTGTATGTATGTGTGTGCATGTGTGTATATGTGCACTGTGTGTATTATGTGCATATCTGTATATTATGTGTGTGCATGTGTATATATGTGTGTGTGTATCTTGTGTACGTGCATTGTATGTGTGTATGTGCAGGTGTGTGCATGTGTATGTGCACTGTATGTGTACCTACGTGTGTGTGTGTGTGCATGTGTGTGTAAGTGCATTGTGTGCATGGGCATGTGTGTGTTGTGTGTGTAGTACGTGTGTATGCCTGTATCTTGCCTGTGTGTGCCTGTGTGTATATGTGTAAGTGGCTGTACATCATGCGTATGTGCGTGTGCATGTGTAATATGTGTATATTATGTGTGTGCATATGTGCATGCGTGCATACGTGCGTGTTGGCCAGAGCCCTCGAGCTCACACACACGCAGGCATCCGGCTCTGACCCGCCTTTCCTTTGGGGGTTAATCAGAGAACCCTTGGATAAATAACGGAGCAAATTCTCTCAGGCTGCCTGCCCTGCCCTGCCCGCTTCCCAAATTAAACCTCCACCTGCTGCCCTTTGGTTTCTGTTCCTTCAATTAAGGAGAGTTACGGGCACCCATTAGGGAAAGGAAATCACTGGGTGTCAAAGGGTAAGCGGAATCCTCCCGGAAACCTGTCAGCGCCTCGGACCCCGGGCTCTGCCCCTCCCCACACGGGGCTGTGCCCTCTGCCTTGCCCTCCTCCCCCGCCCCTGCCCAGCCCAGCCTCGCAGACATCCCGATGCCCGAGCAGCTGCGGAGCCAGCCGGGCAGACAGCCGTCCCCTTGGCCCCCTTCCCTGGGGGGGGGGGGGAGAGGACCAAGCCCCGCCCGGGAAGCTGCACAGGCGAGCCCCCCTCATCGTGCTCCCCTGGCACGCCTGGGAACGCTTGGCTCAGCATCTTTGCCCTGAGGTGCTGACGTGAAATCTCAACCGACATCCCCCAGCCGCTGTGCCCAGAGGTTCACGCTGGGTCAGAGACGCTGGCGCGGCTGGCCCCCAGCCGACAAGTCCTGGCACTGCTGACCCCCAAGGAACAAGAAAGAGTGCGCTGGCACCTGGGGCGGGGCGGAGGGGGAGCTGCTGTGGGGGGAAGTGACCAGACCGCCATGGGCAGCCTGGGAAGGAGGCAGCCATACCAGCTGGGGCTCAGACCTGACTCTCCCCCGAGGCTGCCAGGCAGCGGGCTGCAAAGTGGGGCCAAGGTCGTGCCGAACGCGGCCCCTCCCGGGGCTGGAAGCTGGAGCTGCAGACCAGGTTCATCTCGTCGGCCCTGCCTTTCTGGCTTCCCATCTCACAGCTCCAGCCAAACCAGGCCCTTGCCAGTTTCCTGTTGTCCTCTCCCACCTCGGTGTCTTTGCATGAGCCACGTCCCCACCAGGTAGTCCTCCTCTCAGTAGCCAGCAAAGGGCCTGGTGCCCCCAGACATGTGACCGTGGACGGGTGATTGTATTTTGGCCCAGCCCCTCCCTCCGAGGGGGTCCAGGGTTGAACCCCGAGCGTCCTGGTGAGAGAGGTCAGGCTGCTGGGCAAGCAGCCAGCTTGCTCTGCCTCGGTCTCCTCACCTGGGAAACCAGAGCCCTAACACCTGTGGTCTGTGGGGGCCAACTGGGAGGCTTGAGGAAGCGAAGGGTCTCGTTTTGCTCAGAGGCCATGGGGTATTAGGCAACCTCCTCTCACAAAAGGAAGGGATCTAGCCAAGGTCATCCAGCTAACAAGCATCTCTCTCTGGCAGGATTTGAACACGGGCCCTTTACCTCCAGCCCTCGGCTTCTGTCCATCGTACCCCACAGCCGGCAGCCATTTTGGGGATGCCCCATCGCCCCACTCCCAGCCACCACCACTCCCTATTCCCATTCTCTGGGGAAGGGGCTCTCTCTGTGCCAGTCCTGGCCGCATCCAGTCTGTGACGGACTTCTTGGAGCACAAGGATAGCTTAGAGGACAGCGCCTCCCAAAGGCTGGTCATGGGATCGTAACTCTAGGACCGGCTGGGACCTCAGAGGTCATCCAGGGGAAACTGAGGCTTGGGACAGGAAAGAGACTCTCCCAAGGTCACCGTGCGAGTGAGTCTGCGTACAATGATCTATATCCAGCACTCAGTGCAAGGGCAGGCACGAAGTGGGGGAGCTGGGTACCCCCCAGGACACTCTGCTTCTGCCTCTGGAAGTCCCACCACATTCGGTCCTTCAAGGCCGAGGGCACGGGCACTCTCCCCACATTAAAGCATCTCTGTCTGTCTCTGTCTCTGTCTCTTACATAAACACACACACACACAGAGCACCAAGTGGAGATAGACAGCTGACCCCTGCGCCCCCATGCCACCCCCATCGGAGGCCCAGGAAAGACAGAGCCTGGGCTCCCTGCCAGGAGCCTTCCTCTTAGGTCCCCAGCTCCTGGTCAGCTGGGGGGGGGGGCTCAGCGGGGAGCTGAGAGTGTCCCTGGGGATCAGGATGATCAGTGTCCCCTGCTCCCCCCACTCTGGCTACATGACTGTGTCACATCACCCCTCCAGGCCTCAGCCTCCTCACTTGGGAGGGGAGAGGGCCGGACCAGAGGATGGCACCTGAGGCCCAGGGAAGTCGAGCTCTCCTCTCTGACTGCTCCCAGCTGTCCTCCTATCCTATCCTATGAGGCGGGGTCTGTGCCTCATACACCTCGAGCCCTCCCCACCCAGCCAAGCAGGAGGCTCCATAAACCCTGGGTGGGTGGGGGGGGGTCACTGGTGACAGAGCTGAGATTCCGACCCACACGCCCTGCTTGCCTTGGCATTTGGGGAATCCCAGCATGAGAGGGGCGGTGGGTGGGGGCTGGGCTGGGAACCCAATCCCACCTCAGACACCTCATGGCTGTGCAGCCTGGGCAGGTCACTGACCCTCTCTAGGCATCTCTACGCTGGGGCCCCAACTCTGTAGGCCCCACAGGCTTGCTGATGTGGTGATGTTTGCTGAGCCCTCAGCAGCCTTGACAGTCTGGCGGTGTGTCACCGTTAATGTGAGTGTGGCAGAGAGACATCTTAGAGTCGGGCTGAGCCGACTGCCCCGAGGGGGTACCTGGGCAGATGAGGGATGAGGGGGCCTCACACTGACCCTGGGCAAGAGAATCCAGGTATCCTGGTCAGGGTGCCCAGGCTTTCCAAGGCATCCACCTGGAGGTCACACTTGGCATTCCCAAAGAGGCAATTAGGAGAGGCAGCCTCTGGGACCCAGGACGGGAGGCCCCACCATGTGGGGCAGAAGCCCCATGTCTTTGTTTCCCAAGCTCTGGTCCTGGATTGGAAAGAGGCAGAGGCCAGAAAGGAGGGTGAGGGTGAGACAGAGAGAAACCGGGACTCCTGAGGACAAAGCCAAGTGCCCTGAGGGGCTCTGGTCCACCCCAATATGCAGGAAAAGGGTCTATTTTCATACCCTTGACCTCAGTCAGGCACTAACCAAGAGGCATTTTGCCTTAGGGAGTGTCTAAAGGTGCAGAGCTGGCGATTAGCCACCAAGTAGGAGGAAAGCTCATGCTGCTGCCCACCCAGGGACTGGGCGAGAGAAGAGGAGAGGACAAGGCTTGAAGAGAAGCGGGCTCAGAGAGGGGGGCTGAGGGAGGGGGACTCAGAGAGAGGGGGGGCTCAGAGGAAGAGGGGCCTCAGGTAAGGGGGCTCAGAGAGGCAGGCTCAGAGAGAGGGGGGCTCAGAGAGGGTGCTAAGGAAGAGGGAGCCATGAGGGCATGCAGGCCTGCCAGCCTCTGAGTGGCCCCAGCCTGTATTCTTCCTCCAAACCATCCAGCATCGTGCTCCTCACACTCATATCCATCTTCCCAAAGCACAACTTTTATCACCTTCCTCCCTGCTCAGAAGTTTTCTATGTCTCCTCAGAACTGAACTTATCAGATGCCTTTCAAGCCTCCACAATGGAGCCTCATCCCCTCTGCTCCAGCTGGGTCTCTGATCCCTCTCAACCCAAGGCTTCCTCAGCTGCTGAGAGAGGAGAGAGAGAAAAGAGGAGAGATCAGAAGGAGGAAGGAGAGAGAGAGGAGGGGGGGGAGAGACAGAAGAGAAATGGAGAGAGAACAGAAAGAGAGGAGAGAGAGAAAACAAGAGGGAGAGAAAGAGAAGAGAGGAGACAGAGACAGAGAAGACAGAGAGAAAAGAGAGAAAGAGAGAGAGAGAGAAGAGAGAGAAGAAAGAGAGAGAGAGGAAAGAGAGAGAGAGAGAGAGAGAGAGAGAGAGAGAGGAGAGAGAGAGAGAGAGAGGAGAGAGGAAGAGGAGGAGGAGGAGAGAGAGAGAGAGAGGGAGAGAGAGAGAGAG